AGCTAATCCTGTAGGTTAGAAGCAAATCCTAACATGAGCTAATCTGATAGATTAGGAACAAATTCTAACATGAGCTAATCTGATAGATTAGGAACAAATCTTCAAAGCATGAACACATCAGCTTTTGAGTTTTGTTTGAGAAGTTTAGATACGGACTGATTAGCTTGTGGTTTAATCTGATTCAACTACTCATAAATTAGTATTTTTCATCGACTATAGAGAAAATGCACCTTAATTCAAGCTTTTTATATGTGTTTGGTATATCTTATATATAACCAGTGATGAATATTAGTCATTGTATAATACTAACAGATGGCAGCACCATGCACTGATGAACGGATATAGTAAATTAGACAATACTTAATATGATGTTAAATTATAAAACAACCTTAACAATCGCGGGAGTTTTCCAAAACTTCACCCAACATACTATTTTGCCCACTAGAAACATTTAGTCTATACAGTGTAATTCATTTGATTCATCGTGATGTAATTTTTTCATCCGTTTAGAAGTATTCCAATCAAAGAATCAGAAATTCGAAGAGTTAAGTCAGAGAATGGAAAGTCTATGTGAAGAAAATGAGAAGCTGAAGAAGGAAATTGATTCTCAAGTGAGTTTGGGTTTTAACATGCTCTTCTGTAATGACTATAACCCAAAAGCACCATGTGGTCCATATGCAGGACATTCATGTATCTGGTAGTGGCATTGAATACTATGAAAGAGAATGGGGGTGAAGCTAACTTTCAGGGGTGGTTTGGTTTGTTTTGAATTTCGCGCAAAGCTACACGAGGGCTATCTGCACTCTCCATCCCTAATTTAGCAGTGAAAGACTAGAGGGAAGGCAGCTAGTCATCATCACCCACCACCAACTCTTGGGTTACTCTTTTACCAACAAATAGTGGGATTGACCATCACATTATAACACCCCAAGGTTGAAAGGGCGAGTATATTTGGTGGGACGGGGAATCGAACCCGTGACCTTCAGGTTGCGAGTCAAGCAGCCAAACCAACTGTGTCGGGTGAAATTCACCCTAGCTCCATCAAATCTTGAATGTGACTTTATTAAACAAAGC